AGAGGAAAGTTCTCTTCGTAAAAGAATTTGTTTTTTCACGGTCAGAGGGAAGTTTCCTGAAGAAAGTACCCTTGAAGGTGTTTGTTGTTGTTTTAAAAACTTCCCTGCGTGGGGTACCACTCGGATTGGACTGTCCCCAGCTGCGAGGTGGGGGGCCTCATTCGCCAGCAATTTTAAGGCTTTGCCTTCTAGCAGTGATAGTCAGGGGGGAGCACGGAGGACCTCAGGACCTAGAGGCCATGGCCATTCCCAAGCTTGAGGTTTGAGAGGGAAGATGCAGCTGTCCAGTTCTTTCAGTGGTTTCAATATCTCCTGGCTGTGCCCACGGAGTGCTGGTGATGGTGGAAATACCGTCCAAGCGCGAGGGTAGACGCCCTCCACCCTTCTCAAGCTGCTTCATCTTATTTCTTCACCCAGTCCGTTCTAAACGTCTCAGTTAAGGAGGCCCTGGGGGTGGTTTTCCTTGTCTGGTCCCTGATCTCCCCAACCCCTAACCCTCTGAACAGAAATGAGGTGCGAGAGTCCACACTGGGAGCAGCCCAGGGGTGATTTCTCATTCCTCTTTCTTCCTCCTTCGTTTTATTTATTTTTTCCTTTAAAAAATAATATTTATTGATTCTTTTTTTTTTCTGTTTACGAAAGCAATTTATGATCCACATAGATTTGGAGATACAGAAAAATTTCCCTAGTGCCCCCTCCCCTCAAAATCATCCGTTCTGTTCATTGAAAACCAGTATTCAGCTTCTGGTTATGTCTTTTTTAAATCATTTCTTTTCTATAGATATACACCTAATTTTAAAACTCTTTAGTTTGTAATAATTTTAGATTTACAGAAAAGTTGCAAAGACAATAGAGTTCCCATATACCCTTCAACAAGTTTTCCCTGATGTTAACATCATAGTACAATAATCGAAACTGAGAATTAATACTGGTGGAGTACCATTCACTAAACTGCAGATTTTATTCGGATTCCACCAGTTTTTCCACTTATGTCCCTTTTCTGTCCCAAGATCCAATCCAGAATATCACATTGCATTAGTATATAACTAATTTTTTTTTTTTTTTTTTGCGGTACGCGGGCCTCTCACTGTTGTGGCCTCTCCCGTTGCGGAGCACAGGCTCCGGATGCGCAGGCTCAGCGACCATGGCTCACGGGCCCAGCCGCTCCACAGCACGTGGGATCCTCCCGGACCAGGGCACGAACCCGTGTCCCCTGCATCGGCAGGCGGACTCTCAACCACTGCGCCACCAGGGAAACCCCTATAGCTAATTTTTAAAATGTGTATCCCACTATGTGCACTATTTTGTACCCAGCTATTTTTGTTGGTAATATACCATAAGCATTTCCCCATTCAGTTAAAATTCTTCTATGTCATTACCATTTTTTGTAAACATACTTATTGGAGTATAATTGCTCTACAATGGTGTGTTAGTTTCTGCTTTATAACAAAGTGAATCAGCTATACATATACGTATGTCCCCATATCGCCTCCCTCTTGCGTCTCCCTCCCATCCTCCCTATCCCACCCCTCTAGGTGGTCACAAAGCACCGAGCTGATCTCCCTGTGCTATGCGGCTGCTTCCCACTAGCTCTCTATTTTGCGTTTGGTAGTGTATATATGTCCATGCCCCTCTCTCACCTCGTCCCAGCTTCCCCTCCCTCCCCGGGTCCTCACGTCCCTTCTCTACAGTCATTATGGCAGCATAATGTTCCATTACATGGATCTGCCGTAATTTGCTTATAGCCAATGGCTTATTATTCCACATTTAAATTGTTTCTAATTTTTCACTCTTATAAAGAATGATGAGGGCTTCCCTGGTGGCGCAGTGGTTAAGAATCCGCCTGCCAAGGCAGGGGACATGGGTTCGAGCCCTGGTCCGGGAAGATCCCACATGCCACAGAGCAACGAGGCCCATGCACCACAACTACTGAGCCCATGTGCCACAACTACTGAAGCCTGCACACCTAGAGCCTGTGCTCTGCAACAAAAGAAGCCACCGCAATGAGAAGCCCGCACACCACAATGGAGGGGTGGCCCCCGCTTGCCGCAACTAGAGAAAGCCCGCATGCAGCAACGAAGACCCAGTGCAGCCAAAAATAAATAAATTTATTTTTTAAAAAAAAAGAATGATGAGATGAACATCTTGTACATACTTCTGATATACGTATCTCTGGTTTTTTTGCCATAAGAGAAATCCCAGAAATGGAATTCCTGTGTCCAGGGGACCGATCCTTCCCCCTTCTAAGTCCACGGTGAGGATTTGTGTCTGTTGACGGCCTTTATGCCTAAAGAGACTGTTGACCCCTCATCCTGAGACAGGCAGGGGAAGAAGCAAAGAACCCTCTCAAAGGGGACCACCACCTTTGGGTGGTAGAGATAGCAAGAGGAGGAGGAAACATCAAGGGAACTCCAGGTCCTTCATGGCTTCTCGGGCTTTTTCCAGGCTACCCAGCCCCAGATGGGTATCTTATCTCGGTAGAAAGAGGACGATGCTCGCTCTGAGCCCAAGGATAATGGGAAGGGGCTATGGGTGGGGGGTGGAGCAGAAGCTGCTAATGCATTTTTGCCAGCATCTTTGGTTTCTCCAATATCCAGCCAGACTATTAGCAGTTCCCCAAGGATGGCCTTGCTCCTCACGTCATCCCCCATTTCCTATAAATGGGAAGTGGCTAGGGAGTAGGGTGTGTGCGTGTGTGGCGGGGGAGGGAGCGGGGATGAAGGGAAAGGGACATGGTGGTTTTCCTACAGCTGACTTAGTGGGGAACTGAAACCCAGAGAAGATGTTACTAATCCAGAACGACCCAGCATTGTGGGGAATAGTTTGGGTGTTAGGACTTTCATTAAGGCTTGGAAGTCACTGGTCAGGATAGATGAGGGATTGCTGCCTCTGCCTTGTTTCTGGGGCCCTAAGACTCTGTGTGTGAGTGTGTGTGTGTTTGTATTAGTAGTAGCTGTAGTGGTAGTAGTAGTAGTAACTGGACTGAGGGATTGCTTCAGTTTCTTTATCTGAAAATGGTACCCATCTCTTGAGTTGTCACAAGGATTGAATGAGTTAATACATGAGATGCATTTAGAACAGTGCCTGGCACAATCAGTAAAAGTTAACTATTACTACATGAGGCTACACCAGCAGAAAAAGGGGAGGGAACATCTTCCCAGCAGAAGCCCCTACAGCACCCTGTGCTGGGTGGGGCCTGGAGACTACATCCAACTGGCTTGGTAAAGAAGGGTCACCTGCATTAGGGAAGGGTGAGCCAGGAAAGGGGTCGGTGGCCGGCCAGGACGACGCGGGGCGCTCGGGCGCAGGCCAGCTTGCTTGGGGAGGAGTGAGGAGTTATTAAGGAGGGAAAGGCGGCTGATCCCTGGCACTTATTCAGGCGGCCGGACCCGCTGGGTGGAGTCCAGTATCTCACAGTAGGCTGTATGCTCACTCTCCTAAGCCCTGCTCCCCTTTCCTCGCGTGGGAGGGAGGGTTCCTATTCCCTGAGCGGGACAGCTCCCGCCTGCTCCCGCAGTGCCCCTTCCCCAAGCCTGGAAAATACCACCATCCACTCTCTCCTGGCTCAGTAATTTTCCAGCTGACCTGGAATTCCCTCTGACTCCTGCCCCCTTTCCTGGGGCAAAGGAGACACCAGCTCAGGGACCCAGGACTCCACACAAGTCTCTCTGCTGTCCACAAATGGGTGTGCCAAAGGCTTTGGAAAGCCACTGGGGCACTGGAGGGTCACCTGCTGGCAGGTGGGGGGGGCGAGTGTGCCCAGAGACGCAATGCTGAGACCGTTTTCCAGTTAAACTTATTCAGTGACCCAGAAGGTAGATTCTTGGTTTTTCTCCCTCTGCTCTCTCCTGCACCCACTCTCTCTTCCCCACGGCCACCAGGGCTCCACTATTCCCCCCTCCTTTCTAGATTTCCCATTCTTCTCTGCCTCCAGTTGGAGATGCCCTTAGAGACCCTCTGGCCAAGTCCTTCTTATCAAGGTTCAGAATATGGAAGGGACTTGCCCAACATCACAGCCGGTTGGTGGCAGGGCCAGCACTGGAGCTCAGTGCCCCAGTGCGCAGTCCATGGCTCCAGTCAACGAGGTCCTCCCCTTCAAAGCCATCTTCCTCCGATTTTTGTAGCATTCAAGTCAACAATGCACACAAATTGGAGTTCTCTCCACTCTAATAAAACTCCACGGAGGAAGAAAGACACAGCTGGGCCTCCCACCCCAAGGCCAGCCTGGGCCCCCAGTGATCTCCCACTTGCATTGTTCACTCTTGTCAAGGCATTCTGGAAACAGGTATCTTTTGGGACCTTGCTCAACAGCTGACAAAGGGAACATTTTACTGTCAATGTATCACCTCCTTTCCCCATACACACCCGTAAGGAAAAAAAAATTTGAAATTTGGCTTTTAACTTCAGGAAGAAGGGCTGAGTTAGCTATCAGGAAGCTCTTTATGCCTCGGAGAACAGCAAACAGTAGGAAGAGTAACTCCGGGAGAATGTGACATCTCCTTTCAAGGCTGGTCCTGGATGGGTGGGGTGCTGCTCGGACCGGGGACAGGGGGATGGCCGGAATAGCGCGTGAGGGTAATGGTCGCAGACTGGCTCAGGGGAGGAGAGGCGCCCCGCGGAGCCGGGCAGCTTTCACCTAAATGTTTTGGTGGCGAGGGGGCGGCGCACTGCCCTAGGTAATGATAGGGCAGTCTGGGAGCCACGCGGAGGCTGCCTGTCGCGGTCGCGGCTACAAAGACAGCTTGGAGACCTCCCGCTTTCTTCCCTTGGGTACCAGCCCCACCCCTCCATACCCCCTCCCAGCACCCCCACCTCCGTCCCGCCTCGCCCCGCCCCCTCCTGGCCGCCCCAGCGCGCATGCTCTCTCCCCCCGCGGAGTAACCTGGAGATTTAAAAGCCGCCCGCTGGCGCGCGTGGGGGGAGGCGGGGGGGGACGAGCTCGCACGCGCGGGCCCCGGGTGACAGCCGCGCGCCTCGGCCAGGTAGGGGCGCGCCCGCCCTTCTCCGCGGGGAGGGGGTCCCGGCGCGGGAAGGGGAGGGGCGCTGCGCGGCCGAGCTCAGTGGTGTCGCGTGTTTTGCGCCCCGCGGGAGGGGGCCGCGCCGTGGCTGTCCCGGACCCGCGCGCCCAGCCCCGTGAGTCCCAGGGGAGCTGACGGGGCTGCGGGCGCCCAGGCGCGCCCCCTCTTCCTGCACCGGGCCGGCTGCGGGGTGCTCGGGTCTCCGTGGAGGCGGGCCGGGCTGGAGGCGCCGGGTCCCCCGCGTCCCGGGCCGGGCGGCGGGGTGGGCGGGGAGAGGCGCCTCCCCGGAGCCCCGGGTCGGGCAGACGGCGGGCACAGCGGCCGCTCGCTCCTGTTGCCGCCTCCCGCGTCAGAGTTTTCTTTGGAAAGTTGCATTTATTTTCTTCCCTTGTCTCGGCTTCACCGGAAAGGGGCAGGATGAGTCACCGTGGCGCGCACAGTCCGGGACCTGGGAGCCGGGAAAGGGGTCGGCGGTCGGGACGACGCGGGGTGCTCGGGCGCGGGCCAACTTGCTTGGGGAGGAGTGAGGGGTTATTAAGGAGGGAAAGGTGGTTGAGCCCTTTCGGACGTTAGTCTTGGGGCTTGGCTCTGGGCAGAGAGTTGGGCTGGAGTGTGTGCCCCGTCCTGCGCATCGGTTATCCCTCATGGGAGGAGGAAAAAGAGAGGGTGTCTTTATCCTTGCCTCCCGGGCTCAGGTAGGGATGGTGAGAATCCTGAGATCAGCAGACAGGTGTGATGAGGTGATATCTGGGCACCCACTACAGCTTCTCAGGGCTCTGGGCTTAGGCATGGCAGGCCTGCTGGAGAAGGCCCCAGGGACCTGCAGGGTTGCTCCTGAGTGAGGGTCAGTCCTTCCTATAGTCTCCTGTTCTCCCCAGGCTCTGCAGCCCTGTCAGTTGATCTTGCCCTTGACCTCTGAATCAGTTTCCTCTTCCTGACAGACACCCTTGACCTGCTCAGCTTTTCCCTGGCTCCCCAGGGCCACACCTTCCCCTTTCGTTTTTCCCAAGGGGCCAGAGTTGAGGGTAGGGAGGGGTTTGGCATGGTGGGTACCTGCTGAGGACTTGCCCTTCAGCTGTTACACGGACCCGATCCCAGTGGAGCAGGGACTAAGAATAGCCCAGCTGCTGTCTTGCTGCCCTGGAGTCTGCAGCCGGGCACAGCCAGTGGACCGGGGCCTAGAGTGACCCTTGCTGGGCTCCTGAAAGCGTTGCTCAGGGGTTGGGGTGAGGCCCTGGGGGCTTCTGGCTGCCTTTCATGATGCACTTAGCACTTCAGAGCGGGACAGCCTTGGTGTTGGACTCACCTGCCCAAGGCCTGGGGAACAGGCTGGCATATGGGGGTGGGGAGGGCAGGGCCAGGAAGTGTAGGCTGGTGATTTCCTCAGGCTTCCCTACAGAGCAACTTCTAGGGTGTGAATACAAAGTTATTTGAGGTCACAGTCCTTTTTGTTGGATGGGTCTCATCCTCTCATTCCTCCCTTATCTCCTCCCCACAAGCTTGTCTGGAGCTGGGACTCTGTTGTTCTAAGAGTGCTCAGAAAAATGGAGCTCGAGTCAGCAGGATGAATCTGAAGGTACAGATACAGTTGTGGGTGAACGTACAGCTGTGGACATTCAGGCCCCACCTTAGTGGAGATGTGACTGGGGCGGGGTGGGGGGAGTTTTCCTTCGTACTCACGGGGTGTATAGTGAGCTCGCCCGTTCCTCCTGGCTCTGAGGTGTCCCGAAGGAGGAGCTGGACAGTGATCCTTGGTGGCCCAGTGAGGTACCTCCAGGCCACTGGGTGGTGGGAGGATGGCATGGATTCCCCTCTCTCAGCCTGGGTAGGGCTCTGGAGGCAGAGAGGCAGGGATCGTCTCAGGACTCCAAAAGTGAAATTAAGCTCTATCATTTGGACCATTGGAGCCTGATAACACAGCATTATGGATAACAACCCAGACTGTCAGGTGTTTATATCCTGGCTGCTCCGAACTGGCTGTGGGACAAAGGGCAAGTTACTTAACCTCTTTTAAGTCTCAGTATCCCTGGCTGCAAAATGGGGTTGATAGCAATAATGATAATATCTACTCTGTAGCTTTGTTATTTATTAAATAATAAATAGAACAAATATATATGTAAATATATAATTATATATATCTAAAACGTAAAAAAAAACACTATAGCTTTATTAAACCATACATATAGAGCACTGGACTGTGTGCCTGGTAGGTAACAAGTGCTCAGTAAATATTAGCTGGTATTAACTATATCTACTATATCTACACCTGTGACCCAGTGGACAGCAGCACCCAGCCTGGGCATCTGTTCTTGGGTTCTCCTGTAGACCTTTGTTTCTTTGGGACCAAGGCCTCCTGGACTTCGGGGAGTAGGTATGACTCGTTGAGACTGGCCTCTAGCACTCAGATGCCTGGGTCTGAATCCCATTTCCTCTTGCACAAGTTACTTCACCTCTCTGTGCTTCAACTTCCTCCTCTGTAAAATGAGGATAACAGTACCTACCTCACAGTATTGTGAGGATTAAACGAGCTGATTTAAAGCTCTGAGACCAGCAGCTGCAAGTAAAAAGAGCTTGATAAATGTCAGCTGCTGTCATTCGGTAACAATGGCGGCAATCATTGTGGTTTACACTCAGGAACCAAAGTTTCTTAGCAAGGGAATTATACCATATACAACTATACATAAACTGTGAATGACACATTTGCAGTTGAACTTGTGGTCTGGTGCAAAGAACACACCAGGACTTGATGTCCTGGTCTCTCCCCTGTCAATACTGTGTGTGGTTTGTTTTTTAATCAGTCCAGAAACCGCTGCCCTGCCTGTTGCCTCAAGATGGAAGAAAGTGCTATGAAGTGATGGAGGTGAATATGTATCCTGAAAGGTTGAGTGCCTTCTATGCAGAAAAGGTTATTTGTTCTGGTTTTTGGAGAAGTTGTATGAGAGGGAGGGAGTGCTCTGCTCTGTCCTCCCCACCCCCACCCAACCCTTAGGATACTTGGCACTGCTTTCTGGTGTCAAGAAGAAAAACCCAGCCTGGCTTTCTGTGAACAGTCAGTGGCCCTGTTTGTTGGATAGCAAGGGTGGAGGCTGGACCAGTTGGTACCAGGCCCAGTGTCTTGAACGCTGATGCCACTTGACTCCCAGCAAATAGAGCTGGAGTGTGGAGCTTTGTCCAGTGTATTAAGTGTCCCTGCTTGGGGGCAGGGGCTGGTGACAGAGCCATCACGGGATGGTCCTGATGTCTGGCCAGAACTTCCTGTTTAATCCCTTTCTCTGCTACGTGGTCTGTGTTTCCTCCTCCATGGGAAGAAGTCCACAGTTTTGTCACTGACCCTGAACGACTTGTGGGTCGCAACGTCTTGCGTCCGATGTTGGAGACAGGCCTATACCTCACCTGCTGGCCTTGGTTTCTGTGTCTGTAAAATGTAGATGATAATATTCACCTTGCAAAGCTATGGTGAGGATTAAACGAGACTGCCATATTTAGCAAGGAGCCTGCATAGACCAGGTGCTCAGTACAAGTTTGTTGCTTTCCCCTTCATTGTTAATTCTGGAGATCACTGTCTCTGGGAAGCTGGGATGAGCCAGCAAGAAGGAGGTTGAAGACTAGTCAAGGTTTGGGAGAAAGGGGTCCTTGACAGCTCGAGGTCCAGGCAGCCCTGGAGGAGGTGGAGGACTTCAGCTGGACAGGGTTCAGGTGAAAGGGAGAGGAGGTCAGGGGAGGCCACTGGAACTATTTCGAAAGCAAAACTAGGCCCAGGGCTGATGAAGAGCCCCGTCTTGGGCCCATGTCTCATGATTTGGGGTCTGGTATTCTTTGCACCACCCCTGACTGGGGAGGGGCTAAAAGGAGAGGTGGGTGCATATAGAAATCCCAGGCTCCAGCAGCTGTGTTTTGCAGACATCTACCCTTTGCATAGTTCCTACCTACTGGTCTCTCACGGCTCAGCCTCCTCTAGGAAGCTCTGGAGGCACTGAAGATGTCCCACAGTAAGGACTTGGGTCTCAGCCCCTGCGCCACCTCATGGTGCTCTGGCTGCACCTCAGCCCTTCTTCTGAAGGGGCTGAAGTCTGTTGTTTCTGAATCCCCAGCCCCTTCACAGCGGGCTTGCACACGCCCGGAGCGGTGGGTTGGTAGGCTTTAGTCTCTTTGACATTTCTCTGGGGAAGGTGAGATTGTAATGCACTGAGGTACACTCTCTTCAAGGGTGGGCAAAGTAGGGCTCTTTAACAACAGAAAACCACATCTTTTTTGGAGGCCCCTCACGCCCTGCTCACCACTGAGTGGACTGTTTTGGAGAACACATACCTAGGACTGAGTCCGGCCCAGAGCCCTCTGATGATAAATGGGGCTGGCCACAGACCTTAGGATAGCGGCGCTGAGAGAGCCTGGCCTCCTTCCTGTATCCGTCACCTTCTAAGGGAGGCCAGGCAGCCTCCCTCTAAGGGAGGGGACAAGGATGTGCGTGGCTGGGGAGAGCTGCCTGGTCTGGCTGACTGGCAAGGTTCAAGTTCACTAGGAGGGAGGCTGTTCAGGTTTCACTTTGCAGGAGCTGTAGGGAGCAAGGGGCGGGGGGAACTTCCCAGTGGCCTGAACGTGCCAAGCTCCCCATTCTCCTCCTGCGTTCCTCTGCCCCCACCCTGGGCCAAGGGGTTTCTTGGTACCACTACCCCCACCTTGTAGGAGAGTGTTTATTGTGGCCCAAGTAGAGAAAGAATTTAGTTACTGATTTCTGCCAGGAACAGAGTCCAGCTCTGGGAGGGAGTAGGGAAGAGGGCAATTCTGCCCCCAGATGTCTTGGTTACTTGGATCAGTTTCAGGTGACCGCTGACCCTTGGCACTCTGTTGTACTGGAGCAATGTGTAGGCAGGTAAAGGATGGGGTAAGCGCAGCTGGGGAGCCCTTCTCTACCTGGTTCTCCTTGGCTCTCATTGGTGGAAGGCTATAACCGCCCCCCCTCCCCACCAGTGCCATGTGGCCTTGTCAGTGAGCACTCAGTGGGCACCTGTCCCTGGTGAGCACCCTGCCTGGGGCTGGGGGCGCGGGTGTGAGGTCACAAAGCTGCACAGTTGTAAAGAACCTTAGACAGCATCTAGACTAGCTCTCATTTTACAGGTGCAGGAGCTGAGTCCCAGAGAGGTAGAGTGGCTTATTCTAGGCTACACAGTTATAAGAGTTGCTGAAACTGGACTACACTGTCCAGGCTTCTACTTCAGTGCACTTTCTGGAATTTTTGAATGGTTTGAATTTTCCATTCAGCCCTTTTTACCTGTGCAACTTTGGGTGTGTTAATGAATTTCTGAGACTCCATTTTCATCCTTGTGAAATAGGAATATTAAATAATTTGTAGGATTGTACAAATGGTATGAATTAGAGAAGGTTTGGCAGGTACATGCAGACACCTCCTGGATGGTTAGCAGGTGTCAGCCGCTGTGATTATTTTCCCTGTGGCTGGGAACCACCCTGTCTCCTAACTGGGGTTGTTTATCCCACCCTCCCTTTCGCTTTGCAGCTTCCAGCACCAGGCAGGTCTGCTGAGTGACCTCTGCTCACCTGCCGGGCCAGCACCTGGGGAGGCATTTACATTCTTGGCATTCCTCTTGCCTTTGGGGGCTGAAAGAGGCACTAGTGCCCGGGTGGGAGGCACGTGGGTGAGGGGGATGGAAGCTGAGAAGAGAATCAGTGTTGGTCCCCCTCCGGCCTCTGCTGCTCCTGTTGGGAATGAGAAACCCCCTCCCAAGTTTCTCGGCTGAGGAAGCCCAGACAACTGAAGAAGTGGTTGCCAGAAACTTCCACATACTTCCTCCAAACACACTACACGACTATGAATTGGTGGTATTAAGCTAAGTTGCCTCGCCTGTCAAATGGGTATGCTCATTGTACCCGCCTCGTCAGGCGGTTGGAAGATTAAAACGCTTGGAAGAGGGCCTAGCCTGCAGTAAACCTCAGTTAGCTGCTGTTAGGAATTGCAGATGGGGAAACTGAGGCTTAGGGAGGTCAGTTAACAAGGTCACATAATTACAGTGACATATGGAGATGGCATGCAAACCCATGCCAGACCTCGGTCACCCTATAGAATGCACTGGGTTCGGGAATGTCTGGGCTCAGAGGCCTGTGACACCTGCGATGGAAGAGAGCTCCAGGTTGAAGAATACTGATTGTCTTGGTTTGGAGGGCACTTGGTCAAGGTGACCCCGAGTGACCTTGGGTCGTAGCTGTTTGCGGAAAGGAAGTCTGATTGGGAGACACAGTTGCCTGGAGTCAGATGTGTGTCTGTTTTGACCACCCGCAGGGGGTTGCCACGTGATTCTGGGAGGGGTGCTTCGCCTAGACCAGCCAAGGTGAGGGTCAGGCCAGCCCCAGAATTCCTGTCGCTGGACTGGAGAGGGGAGGCGAGATCAGAGCAGGCTCCAGGGACTGCCCGCTGTCCTTTCCCCTCCCCTTCCCCCAACCTCCTCCGGCATGTGTTTCCTTTCAGAAGCGGGGCTGGGGCTCTCAGACGGGGCAACAAAAGCAACTTTCCTCCAAGCCACTGCCACCTGTTGGGTTTTCATACATTGGGGGTGAGCGGGGGGA